AGGTGAGCTTTCGGTAGCCCCTTCTTCTCGGCGGGCTGCCGCCTAGTTGTCGCTTCGCCTCCAGCGTCGGGCCGGGCTGTTGGCGTCCTCATGGTCTCTCGTTCGACAAATCTGAATTCGGATGGGGATATATGCTCGGTCCCTCGCCACATTAGTTGTACGACCCTCCCGAACCTCGATTTTGGGCTCCTTCGATATAGCTTGTCGGTTATCTCCCTATGAGATCGTTTCCCTCCCTATTGAATACTGCAGGAGCTCATATCGGGTTTGAGACTTGTCTCCTCACCAGATCTGATTAGTTGCTTGAGTAAGTCAAAAATTTTATTCCAGAGTTTTGATCTGCTGCTCTTTTTTGTTATTGATTGTGGAGTTTGGCTCATTGCGGGATTTGACTCGTGTGTTAGTCGAGTGGTTGTAGCAGTGTGCTCGCGAGAAGTAGGGGAGGTAGTATTCTAGTTAATTTAGGTGTGTGTTGTTGTTTCTTTTGTATGTTTGTATTGGTGGGTGTGTTATTCTCCATTGTTGAAACTTCTCTAATCTCCACTAGTGGGAGTTTTAGTTTTGTGTCTTAGTTTGGGTTAGCGGCTATAGGCTACATAAGAGCAGTTGTACTCCATCGAGGTAGTCCTCCACTAGATTCAGTTTATTAGTTGTTTGATTCAATTATCTCAGTTGTCCTAGTTTGTAAATATTTTCATGTTATTTTATTAAAGTCTACTGTTTAAAAAAATATTAACTAGAATTAAATAAAGGTAATCGATATAATAGTTTGACATAAAATATGATTAGAAATTAATATGTGTTAGTAGTTGTTGATTTTAAAATTAATGTAATGTGTACAACAATAAAATTTTGACATGTATTATTATAATAAAGTTTATACCATTCTATATATTGTTTAACTATAAAATTCCGAATTACGTAGCCCATAAATTAGTCTCAGCCCAAGTGAGCAAACAGGGCCCGGACCCGCAAAAACTGCTCCATAGTCGGCCAATTCGATTACCTCTAAGGTTGCCGATCGTTCGATCGATACAATGATCTCCCACAGAAGCTCTCGAGGAAGGTTGTCGATCGCTTTGACCCTCTAAACGCGCTCTGATAAAGTTTGTAGCTACACCGCCCTAACCTGTCACATCCTCAAAAGACAGACCTTGCATGGATAAACGTCTGCATCATCCCACACTCCTAGGTGACATCACGCCTTTAATGCCAAAACCCTAATTTTGGCTATAAAATTATGCCTCCACTAGAGGTTATGATCATCTTAGATCGGGATTTGCATCACCACCATAAAAATAGTCATAACTAGGCCATGAGCCACATTTAAAAAACTTTCATCAATAAAACGGGCTCAAAGATCTAAATCTCCTCGTCGCACCCGTTTACGGACTGACGAAATCGGTGTCGATTTATTTTTCGTAGTTTCTTTGATCTTTCTATTAAAATTAATCCCTTAAACCATCACAACAATAAATAAGCCCCCGATTCTGTTGCCTTAATTACACACATCTTATAATCATTGGTGGCCCACCATTAATAGAATGGCATAGAAGGAGGGCAACCATCAAGGGTTATTGAGCCTATAAATACCCACAATCCCCTAAAGCTATTTTCACATCCAAACACTTACTCTTTCATATACATGGCTTCCTCCTCCCACAGGAAGGGCAGCTCAACCGACCCTCTTTTCTCTTCTGCAATTGATCGAGTGAATGGGCGGTACCGCCGACCCCCTCATTTTTGGTCGCCTCATTTATCTTACCCACATAATGCC